TGACGTGATGCCATACAGATAAAGGGGATGTGTATGGAATGGAAGGAGAGTCCCCAAGGATCAGGTGATCTTTACCCAAGTCGTATTGACTCCTGATTGAGTCATGGCTGATTTTTCCCTTGGATAAGGACCCAGGGACCGGGGTGGTATGCAAGACCATGACATACTGTATGTACTAGTAGCCTACGTGTAGTGATTGTCGTGATTGTCGGTCACCTACATGTCATCATTGTCATGTACATGTACAATAATGCTGGCTCCATCTTTCTAACCAATAACAGCATGAAGTAGCAGTAGGCATGGCATGCGCTGACTATGACCCTTCTCTCCCAATCGTCCCGCATGCTAGTATCTGATCCCCCATTCAATTTGCTATGCCTTTATGGGGTGTGGAAAGTTGGCAACCCACCCCGTAGTTTGAAATGTTTGGGATGTGTGTGGACCACGGTTTCCTGGTGTCGGCTGTAACCAAGAGTACATAATGATAACCCCCAGGGGTTATTGCTGTAACTCTGCAGCCGCTCTTGGGCTAACTAACTTAAAAGGTCCCTTGCACTGTAGTATAAACATGTAGTAGGACTAGGAGTGTAGTCAAGGCATGTACAACATGTTCATGTACATGTACGTGAGTTTTAGATCTTGCTCTGTGTGCGTGACTGTACTCACCACGCCCCTGTTGTATGCCCACCGTCTGCGCTTGCAAGCACTTCCGCCCTGTTCGGAAAAGGAGAAGTGTTTACAGTCGTTAGAAAGCAAAAAGGTGCAATTTAGGAGTTGGTGCTCTCTGAAGCTCCTGAGCACGGGCCAGTTACGGACACACAAGCCACTTCTGCCGCCGGCAAACGAAGGGCGACAAGGATGCACGCGTCTAGATCTTGTTTGCTTTAGCTCCCTTGTTGTACCAGGGTTACCTTGTTACGGTAGCACATTTGCTGGGTGTGGGTAGGGGTTGGGAAGAATGCAGGTGAAGAGATTCCCGCAGCGGCATCTCGTGTACTATTATTCAACTTCATCCAACTACACTGTACCTGCGTGTTTTGTACTTTGAAAAGAAAGCAGCAGTGCTCGTGGGTGCATAGCCTGTTTGCAATCTTGCTCCTGCAGTCTAGTTAGTACTGTACATAAGTTGTGGAGAAGGAAACATGATCGATGAGTGCACGTCGGATTTTGTATTTGTTGTTGTCTAAAAGGATTGACCTCCCAGGCCAGGGCTATGGGCCTGTCGACGCGTCTCCTACTGGAAAGAATATTGTAGATGTACACGTAACAGTGTCATGTAGATGCTAGTGAAACAGTATACCGGTACTAGTACAGTAGTAGAGCGAGCTGCATTCTTCGGATATCACCGCTTCAATTGTAAGCAAGGACCCGCGAAGGTTTTCTTCTGCCCATTCACGATTCACGTGGATCATCCTTAGAAAGAAATTCAAATTGATGGAATGTGGAAATGAGTCATGATCTCCGCGTCGCCTGTTCAGAGGGTATTGCCGATTTCCTTTCTTTTGATCGACCGACTTCTGCCCTTCACTAGCTTGCATGCCGAAGTGATGGTGGGTCAATCCACGCGATCATGTGTGCAAATTGTGCCAGGGATTGGCGTTTCTTGTTTGTGCATGTGTTTCTGGCTATGGCGCTCCGTTCTCACCATGGCATGAATTACTTGCTCTCAGTCTGTGTGGTTCATGTACGCTAGCCTCCATCAGGCTTTCATTAATGCTCAGCAATCTGTTGAAAAGTCCGCCCGTTGCGAGAATGCGAGATAAGACCATCCAATATAACAGAGTGCAGCAGCAGTATTGTGTCCAGTTGTGTCATGTATCAGACTCCAGTCATACCGGTTTCATATTATGCTCTCGTTCTACATGTATGCCTCTTTCTATCGTGCTGCTGCCTCCTTTGTCCTGAACTGAATGGTATTCTTTATCTACCAACGTGCTGTGTATGTAGAAATGCACCTTTGAATGCCACACCGTGAACGATTACCATTATGCCCTCAGCCATCAACTGATTCACATCACGTAGCAATACATACCAGTAGATCTGCTCTCCGATTCAGATCAGCATTTTCGCATGCCACTGGCCTACTACAACCCACCATTATCGATCCTGCGCAACTCATTGTTAGCTTACTTAATCAATAATTCTCACTGGACCATGCCCAAAATGTATTGACCACCCTATCGGTGCTAGTAAATGGTCAGTCCAGTTGCAAGATACCAGTGCTTACTCAATTCCTTTTTAAATCGTCGACAGTGGAGAATGAGAACAATGTCATGTTCACGGTTTTAGCTGCTTGACGCGTTTATGAATGTTGTTCGCCGGCAGGAGGCTCGCTCCGATTTGAATCATTTCTGGCATAGTGCAACGTCAATGATACCGCGACTACTGCCGTCTGTAGATTCGGATATGCTACATGTACATTGATTGGTGTTGTACTGTAAGACATGTATATATAACGAGGAAGTAAATCTAACGTTTTAAGTTTTAACAGATGACATTTCTTCGTTATAATAAGATCCTTTGAAGCCGTACTGCTTCATATATGTTGTGTGTGGACATGCCGGAATACGGCAAGATCGTTAACATATCTTCTCGTTAACCTATGAATTTTGGACAATCGTTAAATTTGCGACTCGTTATAATACCATGTCTTACAGTACTCAATCTCCGGACAGCTAGCTATTTCAACCTTGTTGTTCAAAAAAGGGATCAAAGTCACGGTGGTTGGTTGGTTGATTGAATGGTTGGATGATTGAATGGTTGGTTGGCTGGTTGGATGGTTGTGCATCTTTTGATTCCCACCTTTAATACATAAAGTATACAACAACAAAAAACAGATACCTTCTTCTCTCTCTCTCTCGAACACACACGCACACACACACACACACACACACACACACACACACACACACACACACACACACACACACACACTCACTCACTCACTCACTCCAGAACGTTCACTGCATGCAGGCACATTGCGCACAGGAGCAGCAGGTGCACATGAAGTGCTGTCCGGAAGCCAGTTGAATTTCCACCTGCCGACAATAGCAAGAGTGGGAGCTTGTGTGCTCTTGACAATACGCATAGGGTGTGCGATGGTCGGAGGACTGTAGGATCGGATTGATCACTGTCATTGGGTAGAGTTAGTTTCCGCAAGATAGAAGTCCCTGTAGTACTTGTCTAGATGGGGGGGGGGGGGGGGTTGGGGGGGTTGTAGATTCCTGCCAATATTGCTAAAAGTTAAAACATGCGAGTGTGAAAACGGTGATACACAATGGTCCATAGTGATACTTGGATGTGGATTCTGCTAGGACTGTTCATCGGATGGAGAGGCTTCCTGGTCGAGTGGTGTTTGCTGAGTGTCTGGTCGCGTGCTGGGCCCAGGCCTGCACTGGCTGCAGGGTGATCGATGCTGTGCTTCCTAGGCTACACAGGTGGAATTCTACTGACTCCTGGTGAGGGTGCATCTGGACCGTACTGGTACTACTAGTATTGTGTATTGGTGTGATTTGATCACGTGTTTGTCCATCACGCCATGCGTGTGTTTCCTGACCATGATCTATAGAACTAGTAGTTAACTCCCCGCTGAGTTGCTAAGTTGAAGGCAAGTAAACCATGTGACATCCAATCTCCGCAGAGAGCTGGGTGGTAATAATTGTCGGGTGTGTCCTGTCAACGAAAATGGAGGGCGATGATTCAACCCCTATTCCGTGATAGCATTGTAGTAGCCAGTTGGAACGGAGCATAGCATTTGAATTACATTGCAACAAGCCACCACTCTCAGCCTGGGCCGGCAGTTCTTCCCACAGTTCCAGTTCCAAGGAGCCACCTTGTGTTAACACTGACGAAAATGGTAATTGCTTTACAATGATGTGTAGAAGTGAACCAATACTGGCAATACTGTACATTGTAGGTCGTGGTGCAAGCGATGATGGCAATAACTAGTAATTGTACATGTATATATTGCAGATGAATGATGATGTGTGACAGTTACAAGCAATAGTTACATTGTATTCTACAATACCACCCAAACACATAGCAAAGGCCTCTGTATAGCTGTATTGTCCCGTCACCCCAAATGGAAGGTACTACTACTAGTATAGATTCACTTCATGTAGATCTACTATGATATAGGGCATGCAGCAGTCTACATGACCATGGCGACTGTAGATCTCACAGTACAGTACAATTGTCATGATGTAGATCTACTACTAGTACTAGTACTAGTAGAACTACATGACATTGTACTGTATTTCGAACACTTCGGACAGTGTTGGTCCGTTCTGTCTGATGAGCGCTGTATGTGTGAAGCTCAAAGTCACAGCTGCTGGACAATCTCCTGGCCTTCTCTGTATTGTCTGCGTGTAACTTACTCGTACTCAACGAATGGCCGTCGTAATGCGCGTCCGGAAGTATTAGAATGCTTTGCTCTTGTTTCCTCCTGAAGAAGGCTTCGAGTAACGTGATTTGTGAACCTCATGATGGATGATCCGGTCATGATATGGGATTTTAATAGTAAAGACACAAATTCGTACTTCACGTAGCACAGCACCCACGAGTAGACTCATGTTACAGTGATCGTGGTGATAGGCTGAGCCCTAACTGTATCTTCTGCCCCGGCAGTCAGCGACCCAGTAGATTAACAGCTACTTTGAAGTAGTACTGTGACAATAATGTAGATCTACGAGCGAATCGCCTTCTGACAAGTAACCGCGAAGCTCGATCCTTGACTCCCGGAAGCCGGCGAAGGTCCCGGAGAACAGAAGAAATACTGGTAAAAAAAGGAGGTAAAAAAAGGAGAGGAAATCGGGAACATGATTATTGGCACTTGGAGTTCTGTTTGACCGTTTCCAACGTGACCTGAAAGGCTGTAGGCTGTCGAAATCTGTGTGCAGCCGGGCCACCGCTGATTTCTGCTGTAGCTGTTGTTGCTTGGGAGTACCGGTGATTGATTCAGTAACACCCTTCAGTTCAGTTTGTAAATTATGGCTGTTCCGAGCCTGCCAACTTTCTGTGCTTGTCCTGCACGAAGGAAGAGCTACAGTATAATAAGCATAAAGTTAGTTTGCCATCGGAAATGCTGGCACCAGCGAACCTTTGTGCCAACCGTGATTGTGTTTGTAGAACAATAATTGTGACATCTGAATTTCTAACACGACAAGTGTCCTACCGACATCAGGTTCCACCCGGTTTCTGTAACAGCCATTGGCATTGGGCTCTATCCGTGGGTCTCTCTGCAGTTGTGGAAACAAGAAGTTGCCGTCAATGGAACGCAGCATGATGAATGCAACAGGTGTTGGCTCCTGGGTAGCGCACTTGCCTCCGCGCAAAGCACTCTGGTCCTGTATCATAGAACAAGGCATCCATGTGGGACGTACTCGAACGTAAGAAGTTCTTTGTCACAGTTTGTGGCCTGGCGATGCCTGGGGTTTACATTTATCAGTAGTAAACTTTTAAGAAATGACTGGGTTATTGACGTTAATAGCCCAATTAATATTTCAGCCACCTTCATGATCACCAATCTACGGATACACTGTAACCATGGTAACGTTAATTTATTATGTAACATGTGTATAGTGTCCACCGTATACATGTATGCACTGGTTTATTATGATGTGTCAGCTCACTGTCAGTGCTGACCTAGTTAGGTTCCATGGTGCCAGTGTGCATGTTGCAGCTGTGTAGTACTGGTTTTTGGTGATGTTTTCCAGGGCAGCTGCCAGGGCAGCTGTCAGTAACTGGGAAACAGCCTGTTGCTTAGCTGTTGTTAGAATGCTCTGCTTGTTGAACTAACTCCCCTGTTTGCCTCCTCATGTGTTGTTGGCATTGGGCAGTGCTGCGGTGACTTTGAACTCCTGTGTCGCTTCAGCGCATGTACTACATGTATTGTGTATGGAGTAACTACTAAAACATGAGCCGTAATCCTGGGAATCTATGTGTTCATTCACGGTAATAGCACTAGCAACAAGAACAGGAACAGGAATTGCTTCTTAGCAGTGTGTGTGTGTGTGCCATCGGATCCACCAATTATGCTCAGCCTATTCTGTGTCATGGCCTAGTATTGTTATACATGTATTGAGTAACTTCACAATCATCTG